TTTTTATTTTTTTTTTACTTCGGCTAAATTCTCCACCTGATGCCCAAATTCGAACATGACACATCACCACAGTGACGGAAACGCGCCAGTAAAACAATATACTTTTTAGTAGAGGAGTTCATTGGGGATCTGTGCACCACCAGCGCTCAGAGGCCTTCAGGTTTCCTCTGAGGCAAATCGGACAATGAGTGGGAGCTCACAGGAAAAACAGCATTGAGTCATGATGCGTGTAAGATTTCCCTGAACTGCTACAGGTGAATCTGGACAGAAAATGTTTGTGTTCTGATTTTCTAGCTGAATCTCAAGCTCTGTAAATCAGAGCTATGACCTGAATACTTACTTTACATCCAAGGTGTAAAGTGATGGTGAAATGTGTCAGACTTACACCAGAATAACTTCGTTTCTAAAACTAAAAGTAGTTTCAACAACTGGAGTTGAATATAATTAATTCAATGAAAAGCTGCACCTCTGATATAGAGCCTGACCAAAAACAATCAGCCAGGGCGATATATCAGCTGATTCTGCTATAGACTGTATATGACTTCCAAAAAGTGAAGCCAAATTGTCTTGATTGCCCCCTAGTGGCTGGCTCCATCAGCCCTGCCTCCTCCAAGTTAGCAGATGTGACATGGTGGCGAACGTATCCCAGATATTCTGATACATTTTTGTACAGAGGGAGAAGACACGTCCATCTTCACGTCTTGTTTACGAGTTTGCAGTTTTCATCTTTCCTCATCACATGCTCGTGTGCGTACTTAGCGCACTATTGCGTCCTCAAGAAAAACATTCGATTTCATTTTCACATTAGTCTCATCGCCTGCACTAAAGTAAATACAGTCAACAGGTGACTGTCAGTATCAGGCAGGTCTCCTTTGAGCTGAGCCTGGGACTCGGGCTTTACGGTGAAACCATACCTGCAGTTTGCATTCTTCTCTCTAAACCACACACCACGCTCACATTCTTCTACTGAATGGAGCAGAGGTCATTGTGTTGAATTACGAGCGAAAGCCTGGGCCTGAAAACAACAAGTCACATGGACTCGCTGCACCTTTCTAACTCACATTTCTAGTTATCCATCATCTGAGAGGTTGGCAGCTGTCACAGCAGATCAGAATACTTTTAGGTGTAATTAAGCATGTTTGACTTGTCTCTGCCTTTTTCTGTAATTCACCCCCTCGGCTGCTGCTGCCGCTCAGCCGACGGAGAAAAAAGGAAAAACGTGAAAAACAGCTGAATATGAGCATCAGTCCAGACAGCGGTTTGCTCTGGGTTAACGTTGTTATGCTAGGCTTCCCAAGCATGAAGAACAGCAGGCTATCACATGCCAACACTGGTTTCCTTATTCCCATAAACCCTTGCATTTTGAGGTCTTTCCTTGTAACTGGCCTGGAGTACATTTTCATTCTGAACAAACCACACTGCGGTTTTCTTGGAAGATGACTCTGACTCACATTTTCTGGCATCTCTGACCAGTTTTTTGGCACGTGTCTGCACTTTGACAGCATTGTTCTTACCTGCCCGAAAAACTAAAGCAGGTAAATTCTGCAGAGACACAAACGGCACTTTTCTCACCAGCTCCTGCTCCAGCTGACCTGTTCCCAGATACAAGGAGGCCATCACCACTCGCCTCTTTGCGGTCTTGATTCGTGCCTGTGGTGAGAGGGAAGAAGAAAAGACAACAAAGAATCATGACAGAGAATGAAAGAATGATACGAGGACACGCGGGCATCAGGAATCTGCTAACAAAGGTCTATGAAAAGGCGGACACATGACGGGCACATTTTCTGCCAGTAACAGCAAGACATGTCCAAAATATACTGATACTGAGGGAAACTAAATAAGCAAATAACAAATCGCTTGTGTCTTGTACAGGTTTACATGCATTATTGGGAGTTCTGCTTCACTCTTATAGGTGAAATACATTTATTTTGTGGTTCTCACTGGAAATGTAGCAAATTAACAACAATAATAATAATAAAAAATAGAATAATTCATAGATTCTTTTTTGGCATCGAGTAGAGATGACGTTGAGATATATATTTTTTTGTTATAAATTTCAACCACATTCAGGTTTAGAAGTTGTAAAAATGTTGTGGTTAGTTGTTAGTTATGTAATTTCACTTTTTGATGGAAGTATGGAAATTTGTCTAACTCTGTGAAAGAGCATTTGAAATTTAGTTTTCACTAACAGCAACCAAACCTAAGGTCCCATTACATTTTTTGAATATGTATCATGTAACCCTTAGTACAAAATTACCACCTCTACTAGTTGATAAAGTAACCACATTACTTCCTTTTCATTTTCACTCAGGCACAACAAATGTTTTGGTCGACTGCCCATGCAAGTGTCGTTAGGATTTACTATCATCAATCAGTGAGTGTGTGCATGTGTGAGTGCACATCAAGTGATCTATTAACAAAGCAACACGACGCCAACCTTCTCAGTCTTTATTGTTATGGGAAAATGCCAATGAAACAAATGTGTTGGTTTGTGAAGCACACCCATTCGCACACCCATTCACACACCCCTGTAACAACTTTATTTGGAACTCATGTTATGATCACTTAAACATGAAGTTTTATGAAACTGTGTGTAGTGTTTTAAAAAACAATCATTATCAATATTTTTGCATTTTGAGACAAAAGTCGAAAACATTGAGAAATAGGTCAAACTAAAGCAGAATATGAATTGAATATGGCGAAGTCAAAATGTCTGGAATACAGTAAGCGTGAACATTTGAAAACTGAACTTGTAAGAGGAGGCCCAATTCTGGCAACTTGTAATACATTTCATAATAATTAGCAGTGACAAAAAATGTCGCGTCATTTTAGAGCGGAGCAATTGCCATAAAATTTAATAGCTGCAGTGACAGGAGCTCAGGTGACAGAAAAAAATTCAAGTCTTGCTGGGAAATTATTGTTCCCATAATTACCTCAAGCATGATTTGTTGTTTATCTGTCACTTACATACTGATATAACAATCAAGTGTAACTCACATCAGCCTTTGATGTGTCGAACTCTGGCTCGTATTCATTTGTTTTTTTTTTTTTAAATCATTCCTTTACCCGAAGGGAAACCTTGTTGTTATGACAATGACACTGACCTTCATGGCCTGGTAGAACTGGTCGGGTGAGGTGAGAATGTGGATGTGGGTTCCCGGCACCCTGAAGACAGGAACGTGCTCTGCCATCCATCTGAAGTGGGTGCAGAGGCCATCTCCGCTGCCCTGAGCTCCGGCTGAGCCTGTGGGCCTTGTGACGCGATACGGGGCCGGGTCGGCTTCGGCCAGCAGGGGAGCGAGCAGCAGCACGGAGGAGCTGGAGGAAACACGGAAGTGAAGTGATAGAGTTTGGTTCAACTGAGAATTAGAAGCCATATTTACTTCCGCCAATGGGGTTACATCTTTGTACGTCTGTTTGTAAAGAGGATGATTTTCACTACTTCACTAAATGTTCAACATTTTCCTTGATTTCTCTGAGAATCAATAATGGATCTTGATGAAAAAAATCATGTTTAGGGGATTGATATTAATGAGTGGGGACTGCTGGGCCTCAGCAAAAGGGCTCAAGGACGATAATGTTGTTCCGACGTCCACTTTGGACTGAAGATTTAAGACTAAAATGTCTCAACAAGAATTACAAGAACAAGAATTCCACCAACTCTGCTCCCCTGAAGTCAGAATTGGTCCCAACATGAAGCTGGCATTAGTAGAAAAATGTCTCAGCAGCTATTGGATGGATCACTGTGAAATTGTGTGCATAATTTCATGGTCACATATCAGTTGGGCTCCAGTTTTATTGTTCATTCTGTCTTGAGTTTACTTATAGTAAATGTGTTTGATCAAACAGTAAAAACATGTTTTTCCATTTCTGACTTTATTTCTTCCCTTTGAAAGTCTTCATGGAAACCCAGCTGACAGTGTGGAAAACAGCTCATCACTATGGATGCGTCTCGCTTCCTCCTCGCCGGGGAAGACAAGGTGAGACAAAACGTGTCAGCTGTATCACAACACCACACAATAGTTCTCACAGGTATTGTGTTTTTGTGTTTGTCCTGCAGGTCCCAGAAGCCTCGGGTGTCAGACCTTTCTCACCACTAACGGAAACACAGCAGCACGGTATATGTAGTTCAACTGGTCCACCAAGCTAAAGCTTATGTGGTGTAACACAAATAACCGTCCCTTCAAGCAGGTTAGAATGTTCGGTTTTTCGCTGAAACTGTTTTAGAGACACATCGGTTCACCAGTATGATTTATATTGTCTTACGCTGATGATGTATTTTATTGTTTAACCTACCCTGAAGAATATGAATGGGATGGACAAAATAATTTATTACACCTACAGCAAAGCAGATATATCAACCACCCAAAAATATAATCTGTCATTTTTTTCAAGAAAAACCTTCTTCATTCTTTCCTCTGACATCACTGTAAACTTTATATATATATGGGGGTTTTGGGCTGCTGGTCGGACAAAGCCACACATTCAACAACTTGGACTCTGGGACACATTTGTTTTGATAGTATGTTGAACAAAAGAAAGAAGACGTAAGAGCAGATGATGTTTGCGATGATAGAAATGATTGAGGTTGAAGGAGCTCTTGTTCTACGTGCTGGTAGGACAAAAAAAAAAAATCATGTACAAGACATCACAGTTGTTTCATTGTGCATAGCGGAAGGTACGAGACTACACCCTGCCCACACAGTCAATTCTACATTGACCTCATTGCCTTCAACTGTTGAAGACACAGATTGAAGAGAGAACTGTGTGTCTGGTTTGTCTTTTGTCAGTGTCCTACATTTCACCCCAACACCACAGTCATCCCTCTCCTTTTTGTCTCCGACATAAAATCACATAATTGGGTCTGACAATGCAGCCACATTAAATAAAGACAGGGTGGAGCAGTGTTAACCTCAGAGATCACAAGCTGATTGTCAGGAGTCACTCTACTGCCTGCCTTTCTATTCATCACGACCAAACTTCACGAACACAAACACACACTCGGTTTATGTTTGGGTTCAGATTAGAACCACAAAGGCCACTTACAACAAGTCGGAGGAAACAAAAGTCGAATGAAAACAGAAAAACACAACGCAGGGCTTCGCTCCAAAGCCACTGTGCTGAGTTAGATGTTCTGCAGCAAACACACAAGAGGGGATTTCCCTGTTATTTGTGATTTAAATCATAAACACATACTTTACTCACTGAGCCATAGAACAACTGCAGCATCAAAGAGAACATCCTCACGTTCATAGAGCTTGAGACAAAACATATTGTACAACAGTGGAAATGACAAACCTATGGGTATAAAGGTGAGATAATATTTCTAATAAGCTTATGTTATGTGATGGTTCTTAACTGAACTCCACACCTTTACAATGTTCATAAAGTGGTTAAAGATATGGGGGTGTGACAGCAGATAAGGAACACCCTATGACACCAATAGAGCAGTGTCTGTTCTAAACCTGCCTGTTTGGAATGGGCTGTTTGCTTGGCCTGAGGTAATGTTGTTCATGGATATGTTTCTGAAAATGTTTTAGTGATGCTCAGTGTGCAGAAACCTGAACTGGAGAATCCTTTTTTTTTTTTTTTTTTTTTTTTTTTACAGTTGTCATTAACAGTTAGACAATAAACTGTCACTATTTATTGTTTGTGTGCTGGTATGACTTTGCACTTCCTCAGGCATTTCACAACACACATGCCAAGTGTGACGCCGACAATATGGCTGGTTTGTGAGATATGTGTTCCAAAGTCAGACAGACAGACAGACAGACAGGCAGGCAGAAAGACAGAAAGACAGACTTAGTGAATGAAAATGTTACCACACCATATTTTCATTACAGGGATGAGATGAGCAATGAAAAATCACCACAGGCTACATTAAAATAACCTAAATACTTCTCTTAAACAGAAACAGAGTAGATTTGTTAATCCTGAAGTATCAGAAGTGTCATAAACGCTGTATTATGGTCTCCGTCTGTGCCATTTGTATAAAACCTTTAATTTCAGCAGTGTTGCAAATCATTATAAGAAGAGTCATGATGACTGGGACTGAGGTGGAGTTAACTTCTTTAGATGTAATGAGGTTAGAGGTTAAGTTGATAAACTGAGGCTTTAGCTGGTAATTCCAATGAATAGAGGAGCTGTTTGCTTTGTTATGTGTCTGCTCCACATCCCTCCTGATTTTAAGCATGTGATCGGAGAAAATGCTACATCTGTCTTTCTCATAATTCCTCACAATTCAAAACTCCCTGACTGGGAATCACACTTTATCCTTAAAGGATTTAGGTCTTCATCCTTCTCAGTGGATCTAGACTGATTTTGACAAACTTGAAATGCTGGGTTTTTCCTCCACTTTTATAACTCATAACATGTAGATGAGAGCAATAATTCATACTGCAATGCTAGAAATATATTAATACAACAATTTAATCAAATAATCTGTATTACTTCGTGAGAAGCATGTAAATTACATAGACATGCAATTTACTACGACACAATAATAGTTACATTACTAATGATAAGTATCAGAGGGGCAAGTATATACATATACTCCAATCAGAAAATATTAACTAAATTTAAATAATGGCATTTTATAATGACATCATCATGGTATAATTATCCTATTATGCGATCATTAATTGATTTATAATCAATTTAAGTTTTAATTCATGTCTTATAGGATCAAAAATGCATTTGAAACCTGCAATAATAACATCATTGATTGTTGCATTTACAGAACCACGAGACAGAAAGTTATGTTGATGACAGAGTCATTTATTTAGTCGAAATGTTTTTTTATTTTTGACTAACTTTCAAAGGGTCACATGAATGATCCAGATATGTCTGAACAAGAGGACCAATTTAATATATATAATGTTTTGGGATTACACATGATGATTAAGATATCAAAACAATTGAAAAATTGGTTGCAGCCCTAAAAGTTTTAACGCTCTTCTCCTTTTCCAGCCTATTCTGGTGAACTTTTCTTGAACTTTTCATGTCTTGCCTTGAACAAGCAAAGGTGAAATGTGAAGTTTAACTGTTGATGTTGGCGGAAAGAAATTTACGGTGATGACCTTTCCCATCTCTCTTAATTCTTCTTTCCTTTTATTTATTTGCTATGTGTGTTTTCTGTCCTGTTGTGCTACACTGGACATTTTCTGTTTATTCATAATAAAATAAAGTAAAGAGGGGACATCATTGTTAGTTAACACTTCTGTGTGTGTTCACTGTGACACATGTCAAACCAGCTCCTGCCCCATGTTGGACTCAGGGGTTAAACCTGAGACATCACCTTTCCCAGCATCCTCCTCTTCAGAATAACGTGTAAACTTAAATAATGAGGCAGCATTATAGCAGAACAACACTGGGCTCGTCCATGTGTCAGGTTTCCTTTTGCTAACATGTCACCCAATGTTAAATAACAGGAACATCATGTACAACCTCTGAGCTATTTACCCTGAAGGTGAGTTGCTGTTTGCTCAGCTGGTTCAGGAGGTGCTACGATGCTAATCATGTCAATAACGAGCTTTAACTTGTCATTCATTCATTTAAATCCATTAGCTTCACGCAGAAACGCCACAGATCTGTGTCTAAAAGTGATGAACCGCTGGCGTCGTGTTGATTCTGGGTCAAAACAAGACCGTGTCCGACAAAGGACGCATTAGCCTCTGTAGCTCTGTAGAGTGCAGAGACATAAGAGACAAAAACACGGGTGTGACTCTCGTGTCTGTGTCCCCCGAGGATGAACCGCGTCTCTTACCCGCCTCGTCTGTCCCGTGCACGGAAGAGCCGGTCCGATATCCGAGTGAAAACCCCGGCGATGGCCGGTGAGTACACGGAGTTCACCAGCCTCCTCCAGGACATGGGAGCCGCCATTGATGCAGCATTGACTCTTTAAATTAACTTTATTGAAACCGCGCTGAGTTCACAGACAGTAGTAGTAGTAGTTGCACTGTAGCTCAGGTGCAAATCTGAGGTACTTATACTTCACTTGAGCATTTCTGTCATGTTTTTATGATACTCTGACTAGAATTTCAGGAAAAATATTTTTTAAAAGTTGCAATAAATCAGTCGATTGAGAAAAAAACAGGAGATTAATCAACAGTGAATAGTGCATTGAGTTGTTACCCTGTATAGAATACTTAAACTTGTGTATCTACCGACCACAGCAGTAAAATCCTGCTTAATTATAATGCTTTAATTAAATAGTGGTTTAGTCAAAGTAATAATTTTGCTTCAGAACATTTTCCTGTTTATAATGAGCATTTCCATTGCAGGATCTTTACACTTTAGGAGTTATCAGTGCTTTTACTTCACCTTATTTATACATTTTTCCAAAACAACAAATAAATAATTTTTTAACAATATATTAAAGGTTATTTTCGTGTGTTTATGTTTTGGGGTTTGTAGTTTCAGCTCCTTGAAATGACCTCTAGTGGTCAACCTGAA